AGTGAAAACTGTGCAGTCTCATTTGTTATAAAAAAAGAAGTTCATATTAATCCAAGACTCTTTTTCTTTCTATGAAATTTTAAGTATATTAAGTTAAAATGCCTGCAGTTGGCCAAGCTGTGGGGAAACAGGCAGGCTTCTTCGCTGAGCCTGGGAATGTGAATTAACACAGCATTTCAGAAAGGCAAACTGGCTACTTGCCTGCACTATGAGAATAGATGTATTCCACAACTCAGCAAGTCCATTTCTAGGAATTTATCTTGAGAAATGTATCATGAATGCATAGAGACATCTGCGAATAAATTCATCACACTGTTTACAACTGTTAAAAATTGGAAATGAACTTAATGAATTACAACTGAGGATTAGTCAGGTTCACTGTAGAATATTTGTGAGGTAAAGAACCATTCTGAACAATGTGGGAAAATGGGTTATTATATAAGGGAATGTTTCCTATATATTTTTTATTTAAAAGGAGTTCTGTGCTGCCTTGGCTGGTTGGTGACAGTACTCCCTGCAGAACAAACAGTGACCTAGTGGACAGTTTAATCTCTCCTGTTGGTTATAACTCCTGTCATTGGAACCAGGCCTGTTTCCAAGTGGGGTGAAGGATTTGAATTGTTGCTGTTGCAGAGGAGACCCATGGAGCCAAAGAGGCCGTGAAAATCTGTAGCCACCAGTTCTTGCCATCCTGCAGGATGAATTTCAAGCAGGAATTTACCAGGAAGAGCAAGAGTACAGATGTTCAGGACAGGCACTGAGCGGGTCCCTTCTAGGGAGAACACCATGATGCTTTTAGAACCTAGGACTTTTAAGGATTTGAGGTGCCTTTGTTCTTGTTCTGTTCCCTCATCTCCTGTAAGCAGTTTATTGCCCCTTTGTCTTGATGACCTAGACACAAGGGAAGGGTATGACATGATCTTGAAGCAGTAGTTCCCTTAAGGGGTTAAAAATTAACTAGTAGGACTAGGGGAGATTTGGCAGAACAGTTCCCGTTTTCCAGATGGCTGTTTTGATAAGGTTCCCTGTGGTTCCCAGTCCTGTGACCTGTGCACTCTCTTGGATGTATGTGTCTGATTTCCTCCCTGTAAGTTCCTGCCACTTGTTGTCCGTCCCCACCCTCTGCTCATGGATGACTAGCTACCCCAGATAAAGTGTATTGTACTCTTGCCAAGCTACATGTCTGTCCTCATCACATTTTATTACATTTACATCAGCTGGGACTAACCATGCACCATGGTGTTTGCCTTTTGCATGAAATGAAAGACATCTAATAGAAGATGCTGGGTTATACCCCAATGTTCTCCATTTTCTAATTTTTAGGTCAAACGATGAAGGAATCAATATGACTCTGTATTTGGATTCTGATCTTAAATGTGTGTCTTTTCTACTTAAATCAACTGGTGGATTTATTCCTTCGTAATGCTTCTGATCAATTTTGCTGTTGAATCACTTGATAACTCATTGCATCAAAGTATTTTTTTTCTTCTAGTAAATGTCAAGTTATTGGAAAATAATTATTTTTTAAGAAGTTTTAGATGCAAATTTTTTCTCTATTCTTACATACCTGTGCCTATTACATGCTGATTATAAAATAGGTTAGTTTTCTAATATAATGAGTGTTATAACATTTATTGGACTCAAAAATTATTTTCTACCAAACAATGTTTAAAAAGCTTTTCATATTGACTTTGCTTAGAGCTCATTTAAGCAGATTTAATATTCTTTACTATATGAAAATGTTGAATAGTTTGAGAATTATTGTGAGTCAGATTAAAAATTTTAAACCAGACTAATTTCTCAGTAACTTTCTTTTTGATTACAAAATTCTGAATCATTACTCAGAAGCAAGCTTCCTGTACTCATTCATTTATTAGCTAATTTACCAATAAAATAATGCTTACCTAGGCTCCTGATATAGGCTTTATAGACAAAATATGTTTGAAAACATCTACGAGACATGAAAACACCCATTTTTCTGGTTATGGACGTTTTAGTTCCTAATGAGGTTAACTATATTACTGCTGTGGGGAGATGTCTGCCACAAATTACTGCATAGTATCAGACACTCTTTACATATGAAAAATTCAATATAAAAAGATGAATAATAGGTTGATTTAAAGAGTTACTGACAAAATTGATACAAGACACTTATGTTTGAGTCAAATGAAGTCCTCTTGGATTCAGCCCCTGAAAACTCTTCAGAGTTAGATAACTATCTTTCCTTCTTGCCTTTGTTGATACAGAACTGAAAGTTAAACTGAGTTTTTAGTTGAAACATTATCTTATAGCCAGGGATGAAAATTTGTGTATATGCTCTCTTCTAAATATTCTTTGTGCTTTTATTTTCTCACAGAATATGATATGTAAAGTTCTGAGATTTATATATAAATATAAAATTACTTACAATGAGGAATAATCTTCAAAAGTCTAAGTACAAATAATAAGCATAACGATGTGATGTACACATGTGATATATACGTGCATGTATGTTTTGTTTTCATTTCCTGTGTATACATGCACTCACACAAGAATTTGGCAAGTTAGGATGTTACAGAAGAACTTGTAATCCTGTATTGTTTTGTCAGAAGTTTAATTACATAAAGACAGTAGAAAGTGAAGATATTTTAAAAGCTAGTCTCTTCTATTACTATTTCAGTATTTAATTCTAACACTAAATATTCAAATGCATTAACCTATTAATAACCCAAATACATTTCAAGTGCAAACTATTACAATATGTTTCCATTTCCACTTATCTTTAACTATGACCCAAAAGATATTCATTATGGTGAACAGACTGAAAAAGTGAAATTAATAAATGTTCATCAACAGAATTGATAAATCTTAGTTTATTTGCATGTTGAACATGAAGAGTAGTTTATAAATGAGATCTATTTATGAATGTAATCAAATTACAAATAATATTGGTAAATACAAAATGAAGTTGCAAAATACATCCAGCATATCACTTAGGCAAAAAATGCTAAACACTTTTTTCAAGGCTATTTTTATAAGTGTAAATTCTTAATAAAAATTTAAAAATACCTGCCACATTCTAATTTATGTTCAGAGGAAAGAATGGTGATGTTTGAGGAAGTTCAAAGGGTCTTTATTTTTTGTAATTTTTAAACTTTTAAAATTCGTACATTTTAAATGAATTATTTTTCCAAAAGTGCTAAACATGGATTGCTTTAATTATATCTCTAACTTTGATGACGGCTTTAATGTCCCTAGGTGGATGCTGGGTTTTGCTGACACAATGCAAGGGACATTGAGTAACAGGAAATGGCCATTTACCAAATTAAAAAAAAAATCTTCTTTTGCTATGAAATATTTCTTTTTATACTGATACCTCTTGTTCTTCTCTTGACCCACCCTAACCCTTAAGAAATCATGGAAATTTTAAGATAACAGTACAATGACTATGGATTTGAAGCAAAGCTAATTTGGATCAAATTCAGCTTGGCAAACTGCAATGCTGTTTTTGTATTTATTTCTTTCAACTTTAACACCCACAATTTATTAAGTGAGACTGTGTATCAAAGCGGAAGCTCAGAATCCTGTTTGGACACCGTTGAGGAAGGAAACCAGGTCTTTATGGGGCACCCCCTTCCTCTTAGCCACTGGCCAGGAAAACCATCTTTCTGTATAAAAGCTATTCAATCTGAGAGAGGTGGAGTGACTTTGGGAAGGAAGATGACCTCTCCCTTGTAAAGTGGAATTGCCGTTTCCCCTTGTGACTTACTCAACTCATTTCCACCACTGTTTATAAGAACACTTGTGTGAATGCCGGTGGAGATGGCAATAGTCATTTAAAATATGGCTCAAATTTCAGGCCCTCAAATTTCCTAAGATACCTAAATAATGGGATCATTACAATTCCAGATAGAATTTTTGAAAAACTCAAGTTTTGCTGAGGACCTCTTAGAGTTAATGGATACACTTCTTAAACGCTAGAAGTTTAATTACTTCATATACCTCTATGTGTACAATGAAAAGCAGGGCTGCTATCAAATCTGAAGAGAGTGATTAAATCTAGATAATTAACATGCCTTTCAAGAGAGAGAGCTGAATAGTTTCTAAAACAATACAGGGGATGTTTTCCTTAGAAGTCATATATGCTGGGTCAGTGGGTAGCTGAGTGTATGACTCAGATGTGACATACTGGTTGAAAGAGGACATCAGAGGAACTTGTTTATTTTGAAGATTCAGATTTTGAATGATATTTTGACCTCCATATTAGGTGGGCTGATTGATTTACTTAATTTGCTTTCCTAGTTAGTAAACTATCATTTTATTAAAAAAGAAAAGATTTGTTATTTATTTCCTTCAAATAGTTTGGGAATAATTTTAGACTCATAGAAAAATTGTAAAGAGAATCCTCACATACCCTCCACCCAATTTCTCCTAATGTTACTATCTCAAATGACCGTGATAGTTTTGTCAAAACTAAGAGACACCATGACATTGGTACATTATTAATAACTGGACTCTGATCTTTATTTAGACTTCACTAGCTTTGGCACTTAATGTCCTGTTTCTTTTCCAGGATCCAGATCAGGGTATCCCATTATATTCAGTCATCTTATCGCCTTGTTCTCTTCTGATTTATGATGGTTTCCTAGTCTTTCCTTTTTTCCCATGACCTTGACAGTCTTGAGGAGTATTGGCCAGGAATTTTGTAGAATATTAATCATTTTGGGGGTACATGAAAGTGTGTAACCTCTGGGGTGTTTGAAGGAAAAGGCTATGTGGTTCTGTCACGATTTGTACCAATAATTTTCTATCAACACACAAGTTCGTTCCTGGTAGTTGTTACTTTACCTTCTTATCTATTATAACAGGTCTCTGGAATTAAAAATTGATTCATGATAGATTTAGGTTCTGTTTAATAAATTCACTCCCTTTGCAACTTTACCAAAGTTAGTTGTGGTTATTCTGTTTAAACCTTACAGAAAGTTTGTACTATTGTGTACTTTATCTTTTGTTTATAACAGATTAAAGACGGGCAACCAAATTGTTATGTACTGAAGAATAAAGACTTAGAACAAGCTTTTAAAGGAGTTATTTACTTAGAGATGGACCTCATATATAATCCGGTAAGTCTTATTGGGTCATACTTCCTAGCATTTTTGTACTTAAAATAAAGGTGACCAGGCTTTAGAGACTAAAACTAATGAACAGTATCTCTTGATTGTTGTGACTGGAGAGAGAGGGGATAATCATTTTTAAAACCTCAGCCCTAAAATTTGTGCTGAGAATCCCAGCTTTCAGGTTCCATCAGCAGAATCAATGGTGTTTAATTCTCAGTAAAATGAAATACTAAGGAATGAGTAAAAACAAAACGAAAAAATAGATCTATGTAATCTATATATCATATAAATATACAGATATAGGTAGATAACATAGCTCAATATTATATAAATATATGGGTATATATACCAAAGATGGTATATCTATATGTTATATAAAGTATAGCTCATTACATAAATATATATCTAAAATTTATGTAATATATAGATGAAACTTATACAATGAACATATAACCTATATACAAGGTAAAATGTATGATATCTATAAAAATCTCTACATAGTCTATTATATGTTATCTGTCCAATATATAAAGCAAAATTTTATATATGATATAAATATATTTTTATCCTTATGTTCCCTGGCTCTCAGTAGTGCTAGAACTCTGGGCATAGTCTTCAGTGTAAGAGCATGTTTCTCCTTCTTTTTTTTTTGTCATCTCCTCCTTTTACCTTTAAGGACATCAAACATAAGGAGGTTACAGGACAGATTGCCCCCATTCCTGCCTTTCTCTGGCAAGCATTTGTGTATGCATTGTATATAAAGGTTATTATACTCAGACAAAAATCTGGGCTTAAGGGCAAGTGGGATTAAAGCCTTAAAAACAAAATATCTCTCTTAAGTGACTTTTCAGTTGTCCATCTGATACAGAGGAGAAGGACTTGAATTTTATTGTGTGTGTTTTTTCTCTCTCTGGTGGTTTGAATAAATCATTAAATCCCTCTGAGCCTCAGTTTATTTCTTATAAAATGGGAATGATGTGGTATATCCATTTATTTTTCCAGGTCATTGAAAAGAACTGAAATTCTCTGTGGAAAAGATTTTTTTTTCCTTTAATAAGCTGAAAATTGGTGTGTAAGCTAAGTTCAAAATAATATGAGAGGGAAATTTTATCTTCCAGGGACATTAGTTTGAGAATGTATGAACATCACTCTCCATGATGGTTTAAATTACCTCCTAGGAATTACTGAAGTGGAGGCAACACTCTCCCATATCCAGCCTACCCAAAGACTCTCCTGAAATGCTCCACAAAGACAGGCAGAGCTGAGGGTATCTGCCTTTGGACCCTGCCAGAGCCTCAGGGTCCAAAGGCATTGGTTTCCATCTTTTTTCCGGTTACTAGACAGAGGAGAAGGATGGTAAAGGCCACTTGCATGCTGTTCTTTGTAACAACTGATGTCTTTCTAGGTTAAGGCAAGTATTAGGACCTTTACTCCCAGAGAAAAGCGCTTTGTTGAAGATAGCCGGAAGCTGTCCAAAAAGGTAGGCTGGTCCCGGGCATAGTGGTGCATACCTGGAATCCCAGTGGCTCTGGAGACTGAGGCAGGAGGATTGAGAGTTCGAAGCCACCCTCAGCAATTTAGCAAGTACCTAAGCAACTCAGTGAGACCCTGTCTCTAATAAAATACAAAAAGTGGTTGGGGATGTGGCTGATGGTTAAGTGCCCCTGGGTTCAATACCAGATACGAAAAAAAAAAAAAAAATAATAAGTAGGCTGGTCCCCTAGACTGGCTACTGGGCACATAAACTCCCAGCACCCACTGGGAGTGCTTGTCTGCTTCTTTCCCTCCCTCCCTCTCCATTTGTCTTTCCTTCTCTCCCAAAATAAGAGCATTAGGCAGTTCAATAAGAATGGGGTACAGAGACTTAAAACAAACCTATGGGTTGAAGCAGAAGGCCTCAGCCAGCCCTCCAGTATTCTCCTGAATCATTCTTAAAGAACAATTCCTAACATAGACATCCTCCTGAATTCCCTTGCCTGTCCACCCTCCTTCACTTGTAGCTATTTCAGTCTCTAGCTTTTGAAGTTGCAGGGAGGTGTTCTGCCTGGTGAGTGGATAAGGGAATTAACCCAGAGGACTCTTCCAGACTTCTGGCCTCAGATTACCCTAAGACTTTTCTTATCACTTGTGTGTTGTCTAAATTTGGGCTGTGTTGGCATTTTACCCCATGCTGAATTGTCTAACTTTCCCTCTGATGGTTGCTTGAAATTCCTCTTTTCGGTCCAACAAAAAGTGAAGATCAGGGACAAGTAGTGGAAGTTTTACATTTTTTTTACCATGACCTTTACCTTCCCCCGACCCCCAAGTCCCTCCCTGTCCTCTTTAGATACAGTTCAGGATTTCACTCTGTACCCAGTGTCCCTCTTCAGTTGTGTAACAAAGAACAAAGTGTCCCCTTTTTAAAGCGTTTATTACTTCCACTACTTCCTTTGGGCTCAGCAGCTGTGGATGAAACAAAGCAGTTAAATATAAAGGCATCTTATCAACCTTTTGTTTCCCATGAACTTCTGGGCACAATTGGAAAAGGCCTTAACCATCTTCTAAAGGGAAGCATCCAAATAAATGTTTTGTTTCAGTCTGCCCTAATACTGGAGGTCTATGATATTTGTTTTGTATATTCTGAGTAAAGGCCTTTTTTATATTTTTTATTATTATTATTATTATTATTATTATTATTATTATTATTGCATTTTGTTCTGTTTACCTGAAAGTTAATACTTGAGTTAAGGTAGGTGGTGTAGCTGCTTTGCAAACAAATTGAAATGAATCTGCCAAAAACAAGGAGAAAAGACATTTCCTTTGTAAAACATGACCTCCAAGTGGGGTGGATTTGGGCTCTGAGAAAAATGAGGGGCTTGAGGCTGAAATCCTGGAGTAGGTCAGGACCCTCCCAAGTGCCTTTAACCACTTAGTAACCCCCAGTGTTCATAAAGGTGAAACTTTTGCTTTTGATACAAATTCTTAAAACCCTTTACTATGTGACAGGTATTTTTCTAAGGCGCTTAATTCTCTTAACATTACAACCACTTGTAAAGTGAGACTAATAGCAGTCCTATTTTGTGAAGGAATTAAGTAACTTGCCTAGGGTTGTATAGTTGGGAAGAGGGAGGACTGGATTCTCTTACAAGAACTATACTTTCTTATAGGCATATAGACAAGATGAGCTGTATTACTTGAATTTTCCACTATGAATTTGTGCAGTTAATTCCAAAGAAAAAACAATATCAGCATTCATTCCCATTCTTGTGAGCTCTGACTCTGTTTCTCTGTGTCCATCTGTCTTTCTCTCTTTCTCCCTGTGTCTCACGCATACACTTTCACACATTCCATGGCTTCAAAAGCCCAGTTGCTATACCTTTCACCAGACCAGTTTTGTGATGAATATTATTGAAAGAGTTATTCTTCATCAAATGAGCTGTAATTATACACTGGAATTGTTTTTCCTCTTATGAATGATAATATTTTTAAACAGTTTTAGTAGTATCAGACATTCCCTTTCTATTAATTTTTCTAATTGGCGCCTCCACAGAAGATAATTTAAATGATCAGGCTACTTGATCTAAAGGGAATACTTGGAGTATTTAAATCAAGTTCTTCATTTTCATTTTTTTTTTTAAATCAGATCTTATCAAGAGATGTGGACCGTGTGAAAAGACTTACTATGGCAGTATGGAATACAATTCAGTTCCTTAAGAGCTGCTTCCAGTGGGAGTCCACGTTAAGAAGTACCATAGCATTTGTGGTAAGCTTTCTTTTTTATGTTCAAATTATTTGCTGCTTCTTTGTAGTCATTTGTCTTTGTAAAATATATTATGACATAGAGGATTATCTTGGGTTTGTCTTTCTAAGATTGTACTTAGGTCATGAAAATGCTTTAAATTAACAAAATCCTACTTATGTACCATTTCTTGAGGAGCTTAAGAGAGTCAATGTTACATACATATGTATATATATTTAAATTTAAATATACATATGTATACTGCAAATATAATATAAATTTATACACATATATATTTTAATTTTCTATAGTTGTCATATAGCCAGATTTGTACAGTTGCTGTCCTGATGCCTACTATGAAAAATGGCAGCTGAATAATCACATGATAATAAATAAATAGTTATGGTTTAGGTTTTAAGTATTGACAAACTTTGATATTAAAAGCATTTATTCCTATCAAGCCACTTGCTGCATAACTGATCATTACATATTACCATTTAACTCAATGTCCTAATGGAGAAATATTCATGTATATGAAGTATATTCTTTTCTCTGATAACATTGGTTCATTCTTATGAGCATATGTATAATCATAGGGTCAAAGAACTGGAAGAGAACTTAAAGCCACCTAAATATCACAGAGTATTCAAGAATCCTGGGAGGACTTCGCAGTTGTTACAACACCCTCACTTTGACTCTCTGGACATTCTCTCTTATTTGTAAAGGGATTTGTTCTAAATCAGATTGGCATTGTTACCCATGGAAGGAGATACCATGTCTTTCACTGGCAAATTTTGAATGATGGTATTATGGCACTGATTTCTGTATTGAGTGGAGATTACTATAGGGGCTGACATGATGCATGAGTGGCCTATGAATAAGTACAGGTCATGATTCACAGTCTGACTTTTGCACTTCACATGATTCTTCTATCTCTTGTTTTCTAACATCAGTATTAATTTAATAATCTCTGCTACCCCACTGGCTCAGACTTAGAAAAAATGAGCTCAAGATGTCAACAGGGCCAAGGTCATTCTCACTGTCTCTCTACAGTCACCCATTCTCAATTGGATATATTTGATTTGCTTTTTCACTGCCATCGGGGAGCATTTTGTTTGATCTAGTTAATTTCAGTTTTTCCATCACATCAGGGCATAGAGGACTATGCTGTCTACAAGTTTTATGTTTAATATACCTTCTGTGATGTCTGGAGTTGTCAAAATATTTGGCCTTGAAAATAAGGAATTTGTTAATTTATATCTGTCATTGGTTTGACATATATTTATCCACCCCCTTTTCTCACATCCTCCTTAGCCGGTGGGTGGCTTTATGTGTTGGGTTCCTCTTCAACCCTGCCAATTCCACTTCCCACCTGAATTCCCTTTCAAAACTTTCCATGGAATGTTCTGTGCAATTCTGGGCAGAAGAGGAAAGTGAACACAATTGGTGGCTTCTTCCAGTCATCACGCCAGCCAGCCGCCGCAAGGAGCAAAGGATTTCCTCCTCCTTGAGTTTAGTTTCTGGCACTGTGATTTTAGAAAAACAGATCTGTTGCCCTGGATCCTGTAGGGGATGACAGAAATGATTAATGGACTGCTGGCCTGATCCGAAGAAAGATTAGAACAAATGAATAGAAACAGGTTGGCCAGGGGAGAGGACTTCTAGATGGGAAGGGAGCCTTGGCAGAAGGCGGGCGGGGGGCACTTCTCCACTGCCCCCTTTTTAAGGCGAGTCCTCCCTGGTGAGCACCACCTTGAAACAGAGCCCTCTGCGGCAGCCTGCTGCATCGCACCTTCCAATGCCCAAGATCCACAGAAAGTAAATAAAGGTGCTCTTCTTCTTGCTTGTTTCCCTATGGTTGATTTGCAAGGCATATAATAATTAAAAAAATTGTATCTGTATGATACAAAACCAGACACTTTTCTTGTTCTTTTGCCTTATACAACACAGTATAACCATTAATTGCATAAAATTTATATTTGGCATTACCAGTAATCTGATTGAAGTGATTGAAATTACATGGGAGGATGTGTGTAGGCGATATATGAGAATAGTGCCATTTCATGTATAGGACTTGAGCATCCACAGATTCTGATATTTGTAGGAGATGGGGTCTTCTTCCCTCAGAGGTACAGGAAGTGATGGTGGTCCCACACTCTAAGGGATTTTTTCCCCTTCTGTTTTGTGAGGAAACATAAAATAACCTATTAGTTTCATGTTCTTTCCTTTATTTCAAGATGATAAAAAACATGTACATTGTGGGGATCATGGTCAATATATTCTGGGTGTTAATTTTAAGACTTTATAAAAGCAAACCATACATTTTCCAAAGATTCCTCTTTATGTGTGTATGTGTGTGCGTAGGCCAAGATCATATCTTGTTGAAAGCTGCAGTTGAAGAAAAGCAGACTTTATGGTTCCTGAGGTGTTGAATCAGAAGTGGATGGACAGCCGTGGGAGAATTTATCTCGTTAGATTGTCCATGTGTGGGATTTATGCTCTTAACACCTACGTGGTGGTTGTATTCTCAACACTAAGAAAATTAGTTATCCTGAATTTTCACTGAACCTTCTGTGCTAATGTTGCTGCATATTGTTGAATTCATTGTTATTATACAAAATTAAATTCAGAAGTTTTTTTGGTGGTCAAAACATTCCAGATCATGTCTCTGTTCTTTTTTTCCCCCCTGTGGAGAGGATAAATATAAAAAAATCTTTCAGTTCTGTCTTTCTCCTTCGCCTAAGTTTTCTAAATATGTTGGTGCATTGCATTCAAGTTTTACTTTTTAGTGCTAAATTAAATATATATTTGTGTCCCTTGAAAAAGTCTTGACCCTCCCAGTTGAAAGACAAACTGATATGTTAATTTATTGACAAAGACCAAATGTAACTAAAATATCTTTCTGGAAATTAAGTGCATCTGTGTATTTTCCTATGAATAGATGTGTAAACATAGATGACATTTTATACATATGTGCATGGTTATTTTCACACTGGCTTTGAGCTTCAGGCATATTAGTAGCTTGTGTTAGCTCACTGCTTTCTATGTTTCAGGCAGAGTCCCAAGCATTTTACAAGCATTCACTTACTTAGTTCTTACAACAATTTGCTGATGTACATAATAATTACTATCTTCTTTTGGCAGATGAAAAAATGAGGCTTTATAGGTTAAGTAAATTATCAGAGCTAATATATTTTTAAGAGGCAGAGCTGGGTTTAAACCCAGGAGTGTTGAGGATATTGTAGCTCAGTGGTAGAGCATCTGACTAGCAATCACAAAGACCCTGGGTTCAATCTCCAGTACACCAATAAACAAATAAATAAAGCAGGACGCAGTGCTTGTCATCCTTGTATTTAGGCAGTGGCTCTAGAAACAACCATATTGATCATTTCAGATATGTGTTTAGATGTTATGCATGGGGTACTCCCCAGGTTGTCCAGGATACCTTTGGGGAAAGAAACCTTAATTATGTGGATGGTAAGATTCTCAATCACTAGCACTTTGTTTACAGGTGATAGGGCTAAAGGAAAAGAAGCAAAACATGGAAATATTATATCTGTAAAACTCCAGGGAAACAACACAAACATTGGTATTTACACACATGTGACATCCTTGGAATCCAGCTGGATGACCTGGAAAACCCTAGTATCTGGCTCTAGACCCAGTTTTGGGTCTGAGTTTTTTTCTTTCTTTTCTTGGATTTTTCTTAGATGATGTGAAAGGGTTAGCAAGGAAAGAATAAAATGAAACCTAAGTATAACCAATTGGAGGGGTCATGAAATGAATCAATACATATTTCAAGATTTTTTTTCAAAATAAGGGATGGGGTAGAGGAGAGTTATAGTCTGTATTAATACCTTCCTTCAAAATATTTTAAAACAATAGCAATCCAAGAAATAGCTCCATATTTTTGATGTATGTGGGACATTCTATATAATATCCTTAGTGTCTTAATGGAAGTACCTCATTTGATGGTAATGAAGACAAATTTGGTTTTAGAGATAATTTGGCACTGTGATATTTATATTATAGAACCAATTATATGTATGGGGTTTCACTTTGTTTTTGTTTTGCTATTATTTTGTTACAAACCCCATGATGGTCTATAAAAATATATAAACTTATGATATAACTTCATGTTTTCATATGATAAAAGAGCATTTACTCAAGAGGTGGCATCATGAGAAGGTTATCTTCAATAGCAAAGTTCTTCTGATGCTTTTAAAATAGGATTCTGTTTATGTAGTTCTGCCTTTTCCTCCGTCTTTCAGACACACCTATTATGTCCAGAGAGGCAAGCATGTGGGGCATTGATGGATTCCTTGTTTTATTAAATTTTTACTCGGATATTTGATGTTTAAAAGTAATCTAATCTACCATATATCAATGATATCTTCATAAAGCTATGATTTTAACATCTATGACTTTTTTTTCCTGGATTTTGTAAGTGTAGGAAAATAAAGAATTTATTCTTCAGAGTTGGCAGAGTCTGTAATATGATATATAATTTAAGGCATCAATCAACCTCCCACCAATAAGGTTAAAAAATACATCTCTTTTTTCTGTCCCTTATTTAACATTTATAGGATTTAGCATTTAGAGAGATCCTAGAATATTAAGAAACAGAAAATAATCTCACTTAGAACTTAAAACCAATAGTAGCAGTTAACAGAATCAACCTTTCTAATGCATGATAAGCATGTTTGCACAACACACACACACACTCTTACACTCATTTGCACTGTAAAAAGCAGAGAATGGGAGCTGGGGTTGTAGCTCAGTGGTACAGTGCTTGCCTTGCATGTGTGAGGCACCGGGTTCAATTCTTTGTACCACATTAAAAAAAAAAATGAAGTGTAGAGCACTCAGGAACATAAAGTTGCCCTGCTGAACATTTTGGAAAAACTGGATGCAAGACTTTGAAATTTGCTTGTGCTCATGATTCCCCTGTGGTCCATAGAACATTCAGATTTATTTTGCTTTGGTACAAATGACAAATGCACCTGTGATTTTGTTTCAAGATT